GTTAGATGAACTTAAAAACAAGATTTAATGTGTTTAAATTAAAAAAATTCACAACTAAGGTTAGCGAATTGAGATTAAAAAAATCTAAGAATTTAATGTGATTTATATTTTGATAGCTTGTTTTCAGAAGTCAATTAAATAAAATTAAAATTTATTTAAATAATTTAATTCAAAAGCTAACTGAAATGTATGATAATAAAATTGTACATGAATTTTCTTATATATATTTTTTGTGTCTAATTGGATATTTTAGGAAAGAATATTAAATTTAAAAAAATAAACTACAAATATAAAATACAATAATAAATAAAAATATTAATTTTTAAATACGTAGAATTAAATAAAAAAATTCAAAAAATTCAATTATAAAAATATAAAATGAATTCATAAATTAAAAAAGTTTAATTCATATGAGCAACAATTTTATTTTAAAAAGGTAGAATTAAAAAATATAAAATAAAAAATTAGTTTAAATGATATTTGAGAACTAGTTTAGACGTACAATGAAAAAAGAATTTAAATTTTACAATATATATTTGTATGATTAATTTGATATTTTTAGAAAAGAACGATTAAATTATTGCAATTATATTTTTAAAAATTAGTTTGAATGTTAAATAACATAAAAGACATGAATTTTACTATATATATTTTGGTCACTCATTTAATATTTTTGTAAAAAATAAACTTTAAATTTCATTTTTTTAAAAAATTTGAATAAAAAATATTTCATAGTTGGGTATTTTGCAATCTAACAACAATAACTAGCTATTAAATAATATTTTGTATATTAAAATAGTTTCACTTTAAAAAACCATATTGTTAAATTTCAACTAAATCTTTTTTGGCCAAGTAAATTACAATTATATCTATCCACTTTACACCACACATTATGTAAAAATATGCTATTTATCTACCAACAAAAATTACTATTTAAAATATATTGAGCAAAGATTTCACCAAAAATATATGTATATGAGTAGCCAGATTGAGGGTATTGACATATACAGCTACTTCAAGTTTCAACATCATCACTACATGATGCACGTTGTGAAAGAAAAGCTCCATCTCCTAGCTTCAACAAAAACGCTTTTCTAGGCTCTAACGGTCGTTTACCTTTTTTTTTTTTTTTTTTTCAAACAAGATTTTAATCTCCATAATGGGTTTTATATTCTCTATCTAGGTTTGAACCATCCCAATCTCAATTGAAAAGTAATTCATAGCATTTATGATGGTAACATGTGTAGGTTTAAGAAAGAATGTCCACAAAGATCAAAGAGAGATTGGAGGGATAGTGATTTGGCTAGGTATAATTACATGTTTTCATAATAGTTTTTTCTTCAAAGACTAAAAAAAAATTGTTTGAAAATGTGTTTTTAACTTTTATCTGTTTTGAAAAACAAAAAAAAATTAAAAATTTTTTCTGAATAACTAAAAAACTAAAATTACTTTTTTATTCTGAAAAATTTTTAAAAAGGAAAAAAAAATATATAATGCGAATTATTTTTTTCACCGTTTATTTCAAAATTTAGATTAGTTTTTCAAATAATAATTCAAACAATTTTTTTTTTCCCATAAGAACATAAAACGAGAAATAGAACCAAACATGCCCTGAGGGCTTGTGTGGTTTATGTTTTTTAAAAATAAAAAAAAATCAAAAGAACTTGTTTAGATAAATGTTTTAAATTTAATTGTTTTCAAAATTATTCTCATTTTTTGTTTTTTTTAAAATAGAAACATCTTAAATCTATTTCATTTCATTTTATTTTTAAAATATATTATATTTGATTAGTGAAAATTACAATTGCTTTGACAAGTAATTATCATAAATTACCATCATTAACCGTTGGTGATCATCACTGTTGATCGATTTTTAATTTTAAAACTCTAAACACAATTAAATAACTTTTTTATTTTATTTTTAAAAACTATATTATAAAATTGTTTTTAAGGATAAAGAATAAAAATAAAAATCAAACGCACATTGAGCCTCCAGCTTTGGTTTGTGGCAAATCACACCGAACTATACATATTATATAAGTTCGGCCAAAAAAAAATGAAAAGACATATTATAAAAGCAACAAGTTATACTTTAGAACCCTAATCTTGCTTATCTTATCAATATGCCCCAACTCAACACTTAAATGGGCTTGGGCCAAAACCTAATCCACCAAAGGTGTACAATGGACTAAATCCAACAGATTTTTTCTAATATGAAAAATAGTACTAAAATAAAAATAGATTACACACTAACAAGGTAGTGTTATCATACATTCTTTTTCATGATCCACCACCTTAGCACGATTAGGTGAAGATTGATTAAATATCACATAATACTCAAAGCTATTAAGGGTTTGTGTAGCTAGCAAATAAACACAAGAATTGGCCTCCTTATATATGAAATTTAATCTAACATTCCAATCTCCATACAAAAAGTGATCTAACTTGGTAAATTATGTTTTTGAAGGGATGCTAAACTATGTCACAATGAGATACTAGATTAACTGCCTCAACACAGTCAGTGAAAACTTGGACATTATGGACATTCCTATTCCAACATAATTGTAAGCCATAGATGATTCCAAAAGCTACAGTGATAACAAGAGGTAGTAACACATGTTAAAATTAAAATCACAAATACAAATGCATTATCGTCTCTAATTACACCGCTACACTTACCAACACCATCTTTGAAAGATCCATCAACATCAAGTCTCCTGGCGTCACAAGTAGGTCTTATACCCATCAACGAACGCTATGTCTAATCCATCTCTCTATCATGTAGGACTACTTACGTAAGTGCTCCTTTATCTCTTCCATGATATTTGTGGATTCCCATGAATTAGGTGGAAGATATTGATTTCTTTCTACTTAATTTCCTCTAAGTTTTCTTTTAATGTCCGTTTTATAACAAAAAATGGCTTTCTTATTTCACTCTTTGCAAATTCAGAAGCTACTCACATGTTCAGTGGTAACGAACGCGAAAAGACCAACAGAAGAGCACGTGTGAGACTTGAGCTATTAGGCAGAGATGGATAGCTGAATGATTTTCCTGAGAATCCTTTGAAAGCTAAAAAGGTTGTTGAAGGATCTGAGTGTCTTGTTCAATAACCGTGAGCTTAAGGACAAAAATTAATCATTTAGGTCCTATTTGGTTCCTAAAAAAGAATGGAATTAAAAAAATAAAGATAAAAATGAGATTATTAAAAGTAATAGTAAACCACATTCATAAATTAAAGGAGGAGGATAATTTAATTCATGAGTTTGAAAATTATGATTCATGATATTTTTGGAGGTGTGATAATTTTCACATTTATAATATATTAATGAGTTTTATTATACTTATTATGAGAAGAAAAGTGATTTAATTCATTTTTAGGTTGATTTTTTCAATCCGTTTTATTCCATTCTTTTTTAATAATCAAAGGAAATCTTAGAGGCTTTTTGATGTGTTCCAATTTTTGTTTAAGTTATTTGTAATACAATTTATAAATTGTTTTTTAAAACAAAATAAAATGAAAATATGTTTGATTATATTGATTCAAAAACAGTTTTATAATTAAAAAATTGGTTAATAGTGATGATTGCTTGTAGTTAATGATGGTGGTTTATCACAGTAGCTGGTTAAATTAACTATGGTTTTCAATAGTCAAATGTTGTGTGTTTTGAAAACAAGAAAAAATAAAATAAAAACAACTTTAAGATGTTTTCATTTTATTTTTTAAAAACAAAATATAAGAATAGTTTTAAAAAAATTAAATCCAAAATACTTATTTAAAAGAGTTTTTTTTTAATTTTAAAAAATATAAAACAGTTTTTGAAAATAGAAATCAAACATGTCCCTATATTTCTTCACTTATACTCATCTACACTATATTTTCACATTCATACAAATCAACAATATTGCACCTCAATCTCCAAATTTATATGATGGGAGAATATCAATAAAGGATCTAGGAAACTATTTAATATCAAACAAGAATTTTTAACAAGTAAAAATTAATAATTAATAAGTGACATTCAAGTTTTGACAAGTATCTTATCTGTTTAAGTCTTTATCTAATATTAAATGATTTTAACGATCTTTCATTGATATTCTCCCTTATATGATTTGCAATTATTTTTGTTGACATTTTTTTATTATTTCAACATAGAATGACAAAATTAGCATAGATTGGTAGCCTGCAAAAAAGATGTGATGATGAGAGCGGAGTCTTGGTAGAAACTTTTAAATAATACTCTATCTTATTCAAAATATAAGATACTTTTATAAAATTTACAAGATTAAGAAAAGTAATTAAAAAATAGTTTGTATTATTATAATGATTTAAAAAATATCACTATTTTCCAAGATTAATTTCAAATTCAAATCATTCTATCTTTATTACCTTTCTTTTCTTTCTTATATAATAGTCCCTTCAGTCCAAAGTATAAGCAACTCCCGTCAACTAATTTTAGTTTAAAATAAAAGCAATCTCGTACATATAAAATATTTTCTCTATTTTTCTCCTTGTATTTATTAATCTAGACATTTGTATAAATATATCTCTTACTCATCATAAACTAGATTGGTAATTGTGATTAGAGGTAAAAAAAAAAAAGCAACATATATTTTTATGAAAATAAAGACTTTATTGTTATGTAAATTTTTTTCAAAAACTGCTTATATTTTAAACTTGGAGAGAGTATATCTCCACAATATAATTACTAAGGACATTTGTGAAAAGGAAATAATTAAATGCCATTCAATTTTTTTAGAGTGTCTTCATTGTCTGATAGAAAATGTTTTATATTTTGGACACAATGAGTAATTAATACTAAGACCAACAAGCGCATAGCTCTACTAGTTGGTCTGGTCAATCGCATTAATTTAACCTGTGATCTCCTGTTTGAGACAAAGGCATTAAAAATATGTTGTATGAACTTTGCCACCCTTGTGGTCCTGTCACACTCAATTTGGATTAGTCAAAGTCCAATGTGATTTTCAAATACCAAAAAAGAATCAGGAAAAAGATAATATTGAAAAATGCAGGGCCACACTCCGGATTATTTTAGCCTGGCAGGAAGAGATTTACATGATACATAACCATTTATTGTTCCTGATCCATAATCTTATGAACATATCCATCAGACAAGTTATATATATTGAGAGGGAAACTAAAACTTTGTACCAAGGTTTCCACTGCTGGTCCATGACTCTTGTACTTGTAGTGAATACTGCAAGTTCCAAAGGACATCCTCTATTGAAGGTCGCTTATTTGGAACCTCACATAGACAGTTGATTGTGATTTGAATTGCAGTCCTTAGTGATTCATATGCATAAGTTCCTTGGATGGTTGGATCTATTGCACTTCTCAGTGTTGATGCTGCTTCTGATAATCCTCTCTCCAACTGAAATAATAAATGATCAAGAGGGAATTAAATATGACAGATGAAATGATTTGGGCCACTTTTTTTTTGGGGGGGGGGGTATTATTAATATTGAATAATGAGTGTTTATTATGACCCATTAAAAGATAAGAATATAATGGATTAAAGAAATAAAGAATATCATTGATGGACTCTTCAAAGAATTTAATATTTAAAAAAGACTTTTAACAAGTAAACAATAATAATTAAGACTAAAGGGCACATTTAATAATTTAACTTAATACAAGGTTTCATTTTAATCCCTTAATTTTATAAAGTGTTTTTTTTGTCTTATAACTTTAACATTATTACTTTCATTAACAAAAAATCTATATATTAAACTTTTAAATATTGACAAAATATTATCAAATGTTGACATATTAAGTTTAATTTTTTAAAATAAAAAGGATTGGCACCAAAAATAATCATTTGAAACTAATAGTATTCGGATTATAGGACTAAAAAGATACTTTATAAAATTAAAGAATTAAACTGAAACTTTATATAAAGTTAAAGAATTAAAGGTATAATTTAGTCAACAATTAACAAGTGAAGTTATTGTTTTAACAAATATCCAATTCGATCAAATTCTCATTAGAAATTAAATTTTTCAGGAGTATTTCATCAATATTCTCCCTTAGAGAAATAAGAATAAAAACAAATTAAATTATCTAAGTATAATAAAAACTAATACCATATATTACAAATATGATAATCACCATACTTTTTACAAATTTTATGAAACATGATTCTCAATCTTATAAAATAAATTATTCTTCCCATCATCATGAACTTGGTTGACTCATCTACCTTCCACATTTTGGTCTTTTTTTTTTCCTTTTTTTCTTAATTCGTTCCATTCTCTCTCTCTGTTTTTTTTTTTTTTTGGTGGTAACTAAACGGCCATATATCTCCTCAAGGGGGTCTGAACTTTGAAATATGTGTGCAAGATATTAGCAAATTTTATGATTTGTGAAGATATTATAAATCTGAGATTATCTAACTTGGCACAGAACATGTTAACTGGGTACCTCATCTTTCAAATCCTCTATTTCACTGGAAGAGGAAAGCCGTTTGCCAGTAATAACTTCAAGAAGAATAACGCCCAACTGATAAATGTCTTCTTTTTCTGCTGCTGGATCAGTTCTGCACATGTAGATGAAAATCAAATAATATAATTGCACTGATCATGACTAATAAAACAGAGAAAAGTTAAATTGATTTTGATAAGATTCACATTGACCTTTCCACTAATTGTTAATTTTTTTTCCCCTTTCTGAATCATTCAAATTTGTCTACATCAATAGTTGTTTTATTTTTGATAAAATGACAATTTAACTTTTAAACTATAAGCTTTGGAGTATCTGGGCTCTTGAACTCTTTTTTTTTTTTCACCCCTAAACTCTTAAAATCATGGCAAGCTCCCTTATGTTGTTAATTTTAACTATTAATTGATTAAAAAATTATAGAAAATAACCTTAAGAATTACAAAAAAGGGCCAAATGAATCACATGAAAGGACCTAAAAATTACAATTCAACGACCTATAGTAAGAGTTAAATTGCCATTTTACCCCTTCCCCCATTTTTTTAAATGGAGTATTTAGTATCTTAAGCTTGTCCCAAATTAAGTTGAAGAGACTTAACAAAGGTTAGACACATCCGAATCAAGTCAGGATGAGACTCTTTCAAGTAAAAACTCTATTGCCAATATGCATTTTTAAGATTCAAACTTGAGATGCCTTGTAAAAATCAAATGAACAAAGGGTTGGTTCTATCAATAATTGTTGGTAGTACGACAAATACCTTGCGCCATGATGGGGGCCACTTTGCTCAAGAAGAGTACTCTCAAAACCATTCTGAAAATTGGAAAAAGAAGATACATATCGTCTGGAGTAAGAATGAGTTACTAGCTAAAAATTATAATACCAATAGAATCCATCACTTTCTGCAAACTCTCAGACCTAATTACCTTATATAGCAATGGAATATTATATCCACTAACTTTTGGGTTGAGATTATCATCTAGCAAAATGTTGTCAATCTTTAAATCGTTGCCAAATATGCCAGGAACAACCCCTGTGTGCAAGAACTGGGTCCCTCTTGCAATTCCTATGCTTATTGCCATTCTCTGTGGCCATTTCAGCACTTGCTTCTTTCTCAAATCTATCAAATCAAAATAAGCGTCCAAGTCATTGACTCGTTATTATTAATGTATCAATATCAACATGCATAATAAAATAAGCAAAATCGTATTTAAATAAAATCCCCTAAATTTTGGATTATGCGCATATAACTTTCCTAATATTCATAACTTCACAATGAAGCCCTAATTTGTCTGTTACTTTACTAATATAATAAAAACATAACTAGGGTAGTTATTTGCACATAATTTAGAATTTAAGAGAGTTATTTACACATCACACGAAGTTTAAAGGGATTACCTGGGAAAAAAAAATCCAGGGAAGTTTAATTTGTATAAGAAAATGACAAATTTCTCCATAATCTAGCTAAAATATATAATAAACCACATTATTCAGAAATTATAAAATGTGAAACTTATTATAAATTTCAGTTACCTAAAGTATGTGGGTAAAGATAAGGTTTCAAACTTACCCAATGTAAATATATATATATATATATATGACAAATTTTTTATAGCTATTTATGATCCTGTCTGCATAAGAATCCCTGAATTTGTGTAATTGTGTTACCTGAAAGATGATATCTCAATGACCCATTTGAAAAGCGCTCAAGGACAATGAAGACTGTGCTTCTTGGTTGAGAATGGTCTTGAGGAGTAATGATACAGTGTCCTAGCACACTTACCAAATGTCTGTGCCTCAGACAGGGTAACACCTCTATGTGTTTCTTCATCAGACTTTGGGTCAAATTCTTGTGTGTTACTTCTACACAGTTGAAAAGGACCTCTGAACCATCACTGAGCCAACCTTTATATATCTGTGTGTAAGTAAAATAAATACAGCTCAAGTGGGTGAGTACTAAAATTAAACACCATTAAATTATAACTCTGGTCTTGTGGTTGTGTGGGGTCGATCTTGTATCTCATTATTCATTACATGGGAATCTTTCTTTTACTCTTTTTTTTTTTTTTACCTTGCCTTTAGATCCTTCTGATATTAGATTTGATGGATCAAAGTTGTTTGTTGCTTCTTCAATGTCCTCTGATGAGAAAATTCTGTATGGTGGGAGTCCAAGTGCAGATAGCCTCATTGTCTGAGGAACACGTCCTTTTCCCAAAGATCAGATTAGTTGTCATTATAAAAGTAAAAAGGAACAACAAGCAGAAAATTTTGAGTTACAAAGCTTCTGGGTCAGGCTTAGAATCATTAGAATATCATTTTATAGTTCTGTATTATAGTACTATTTAATGGTCGTAAGCAATGGGTTCAGATCTAGAGAATCCAACCTTGAATAAAAATAAATAAATACATCAATAAATAAAACAAGATTGGGAAGAAAATTTTGTTTTATATGCAAGCAAGATTCGGAAGGGAAAAAAAAAATTACAATGCATCATAGTTTGACTTAAAATTAATTTGTATTATATTTATAAAATGCTGCATTTAGTATGAATAAAAATAAATTCATAGTTGAAATCTTTTAATTTATATCTGATAAATTTCTTAATCAAATAAATATTGTTAACTCACAAAAGTTAACTTATATGAATAATTACATTCAAGATCAAATTATAAAGTTATTAATAAAATCATTACTGTTTCAACATTTTTACAATTATATCAGATATCATATGAACCTATATATATATATATATATATATATATTATTTGTTAAAAACTGAAAGTAAATTAATCGCATGACCATAAATGAGAGTTAAGAATTGAATGATGCATTTTAACCAAAGAATGACAAATTCATTTCAAAATTCAAACCAAACAACTTTCGGTACCAAATCAAATGAAAAGATGGATTTACTTGAATCAATGTTTGGTCTTCGGAGCTTATGAGTAGCAGATCTGTCTAAATCTTTATCATCATCTGCTCTGTCTTCTTTGCACTTCCTCCATACGAACACAATGAACAGTGACAGAATCACAGCGAATCCAACAGAACCTCCAATGACTCCAATGGTTGCAAGAATTCTCATACCTGTCTCCTTCTTCTGGCTTCTCTCCACAGGCTTCACAGCTATGGCCTTCTCCTTAATACAGTATGAAGATGGATGTTGATGCATGCCTGTTAAGCTTCTAGCTGAAAAGCAGTTCCCAGAATACAACACCGTGCGATTTGAGGACTTTGATGATCCAAAACAAGGTGGAAATTTCCCCATTAAAAGGTTGTCCGAGAGATTCACAAATGTTAGCTTTGAACTACAGTTTATGTTCACAGAGGAGTCACCAGTAAGCTGGTTTTGAGCTAAGTTTATGTGGACAATGGAAGGAAGAGAGAACAGAGAAGGTGGGATGGGTCCAGAAAATTCATTGGAAGAGATGTCAAATTCTTCAAGTTTGTGAAAATACATGATTCTGGAGGGAATCTGAAACCTAAAAGAATTGTATTTCAGGATAATTCTAACAAGATTGTTACCCAGTGAGGGGAATTCAGAACCCAGTTTGTTTTCACCCAGATTAAGTTCTTCAAGAAAAGCTAGTGCTTTCAGATCTGGGACACTGCCATTGAACAAATTATCAGCCAGATTCAGAACCCTGAGACTTTTTATAAAACGGATTGATGATGGGATTTCACCATCTATGTGATTTGAGCTAATGTTCAGAACTTCAAGTGACCAGAACCTGTCTATCTTGGCAGGCAAAGGACCCCACAAGCCTAAAGACACAAGTGACAGTACCTTCAAACTTGACAGTTTCGTCAACACAGTGAAGAAAGAATCAATGGAGAATCTTTCTGAAAGAGTTTGAGAAGATGATGACGAGACCTTGTCCCCAACAATGGTTAATTCAGTCACATGGCCGTTGGAGCAGACAATCTTGAGAGAAGGTGACGGAGGGAGATAGCAGAAGTTGGTCCATTTCCTCCATCCTCTAAGAACCTGAGGATACTCAAGCAACCTCTCAGCCTGGAAAAGAATTCTTCTCTCGCTTGTGATCAATTTTGCCGTTGAAATCGGACCAAGAAGAGCAAGAATGATTGTAGAGAACAAGAAAAACGAAGAAACCGAGAAAATTTTCATATTCTCCAGGAGACAAAAATTGGCATTTGGCATGAAGAACGAAGCAGAACTGAGAATTGTGACTGACACGAACAGTAAATTTCTCAAACACCTTCTGTGCAAGAATCGCTTGAGCAAATTGGCTTGTTTATATCATAGCAGTCCAATAATTTACATAGAAAAGTTCATTTCCGTTGCATAATGATTGCGAGAAAAGAAGATTTTTCTATTTTTACGAGGGATAAGAGAAATCACCAAGGTAGAGTAGGTAGGAAAATGAGGACAAGACTCAAAACTTTGAAAACGGAAAAGAGGAAATCTGAGATCAGGAAAGAGCGAGAATTGAAAAGGTGAGTCTGGGTGATGCCAGCATGTGAAGGGAATTAAAGTTAGTGGAGTGTATGGGCATGAAAATGGGACTCGGCTTTCGTGCTCCTACTTCTACCTCCACTGCCCCTCCTCCGCACCTCCTTATAAGATCTGGACCGTCCAAATTTGGATGGTTCAGATTTACAGTTTTTAACTTTAATTTTTATGTTATATTTATTAAAATAAAAATTTATAAAATTTATAAAAAAATTAATAAATCTAGATCATCAATCTGAACGGTTCATATTTAATGTGAATGATTCCAATTAAATATTATAATTTTTTCAAATTGACTATGATAAATTTAATATTAAAATTTTTTTAATACAATATTAAAATAAAGATAATATTTCAACATCTACTTTTCAAAAAATGATTTTAAAAGAATTTGGAAAAATTGGTCAAAAAGATCAAGTTGGAAAGGAATTTAGTCCTAAGATCCAAATACTCTTCAAAGACCAAGCTTTTTATTTTATTTATTTTATTTTGTATTGTGTTGACCAAAATGCCCCTAAAACATTAAAAAAAAGCATCAAATGAGGGAAGAGGCTGTCGAGATTTTCAAACATTAGAACATGAACGTCTCACGCACACTCGAGCACAGTGGTCTGACGGCCTTCTTCGACTGAGTACGATGGATGAAGTCATCATCGATCAGGCATTGCTTTCTTACTTTAAAGATGCTAAAAATTGTTTCATTTTTGGATTTGTTGCTTGGTTTGACCTCATTTGGACATCATTGATTGATACTCTATTCATGCATTTGAAAGTAGGAGAGCTCTTATTCATTGCAAATGTGGTTCAGCTGACTCTTTGTTCATCCTCCAACATTCATCTAGCTTCAGATATCCTCAAGGTATTATCTCTAACTTGTAAAAAGGCTTCCTTTGAAGTTTGAGATCTTAAAAAATAGAAGCAATAGTTACAATACAAACTATAGAAGTACCAACAGAGAGTAATTTTAAGATGGTATGATTATGTTGTGATGCAATTTTAGTTGCAACCTTCACTGCCAAACATAACCCACAGCACTCACACTAAACCTAAAAAGCACATGACATTAGTTCCTTACTCTTTTGCTTTCAATGTATTTCTCTCATCTGTGAAGCTTGTGCTTCTTGTTTTTTCAATATCTCGCAAAGTAAAGTGATTAGTGTGTAAGAGAATGAGATATATTGCTTCTTCCACATGGGTAGGAAGATTATGACAGCTTCAAAGGGATTTTTATATAATGGTAGAATAGCATGTGGATGAATGGTAAGAGAAGGAACCACAATTTTTAAGCTAAGGGACATTATATCTTCATGCCTAGGTATTAAATTAGAAGAATTTATCATTAAGTTTGCATTCACGGACTTAGACAGATGGACTCTAGTAAATGTAGAAAGTGATGAAGTTGTGAGACAAGTAGTAAAGAATAATAAAAAATGTACACACATGTACATACTACAAGAAGCATGTGACTTTAGACATGGAGGACAACCAAGAGGACATCACTACTTTATAATTAGGTGTTTGTTCAAAGTCTGTATAAAATTTGAGGCATTTGCTATCTTGTATTATTTTTCTTTTTTTTGTATTTTTGTGGACATGTGTAGTGCACATATCAATGTTAAACCTAAGTTACATGTTATCTGTTTGGTCATATATGATCCATTCTAGCTCAAAAATTGGTTGCAACTTACTCTATTTATGAATGACAAAACTAGTTTGGACATATTGTTGTTATTTATGAATGATTTTGGAAAAAAATTACTCTATATCTACTTCATTTTTTTTGAATAAACTAAGTTAGTTTGATGTTATTTTTAATTTATATAAAATCTATTTGTATTTACATGTAATTTCACTTAGAAATGTTTGATTTACATGAAATTCCTAGATCTTATATGTAATTTGGCTTAGCCATATTTGTTGATGTAACTCATCTATCCAATTACATGTAATTAAAGGTCATTTCTGTGTAAATCATTGACCTTGACAATAGCACGTTCTCTATCAGTTAAATTTACATGAAATACGTTTGTATTTACATGTAATTTCACTTAGGCATGTTTGATTTACATAGAATTCTTGGGTCTTACATGTAATTACAAATCTTACATTTAAATGGAGTGCGTTGTGTAGAAGGGTTAAATCCTGGGTGAATATGTGCAAGGAATAAGACTTGGGTGCAAGAGTTTTGACTAGGGGTGCAAGGAATTTAGCTTGGATGTAAGGATTCTGGCTTAAGGTGCAAGGTGTAACATCCGAGAAAATTTGACCCCTAATTAGCTAGATAAATGAGATTAATTAAGTAGATTAACACGGCATGTGGCTACAGAGAGCTAACGAGTGTTTTGGGTTTTCATTTCAACTTAGGATTGAGTTTGAAGCAAAGTCAGATCACCCAGGCATCAAAAAGTGAGAAAAATAAGGAGAAATGGCCTTGTGCCACATACTACAACGTGTGCACAAGATGCCATGACTCTCGATACCATTTATAGAGGATGACCCTTTTTGTACCATGTGCCGCAGTGTGTGGGGACAAGCACTATGACACATGATGAGAAATCTACAAAAATAAGACGTGAAAACTGACAAAAAATAGAAGAGAAATAAAAGAAAAATGAAGGAGCAGTGGAAGAGCTCTGCTAGAGCTTAAGGGATTTGAGCATTTGAAGTGTTTTGGAGCTTTTAAACATTAGAGGTAAGTTCCCTAAGCTTGAATCTCTCTTTCTCTTCCATTTTTCTTCATGTTAGAAGTTAGGGTTTGGCTGAGAAAGATGATTTTGATTCTATAGAGGCTATGGGTCTGAACCCATTGACTTAAAATAGAGTTAATGCGTGTTATTTGAGCTATTTAAACCAACCATTCATGACTTTATGCATTTTTTGTTGTTGGGGAACATTAAGAGATGAAAATCCACCATTAATGTAGGGGTTGAAGCAATATGGTTCCATTAATAGTTATTTGAGAGTTCAATGATGTTAATATAAATTAGAGAAAGCTAAGAAACCTTATGAGTATTTTTATATGAGTAGAGAATGAATCTTATGAGTGAAGTAGTGATTGAATTAATAGTAAAATTATCCAAAAATTGGATATTGATGAATTATATTGTGATTCATTGTATAGTGACTGTTTTTGGTACCATTCAAGCTTCTTAAAAGCTTTAAGAGTGAGTATTTGAGGGATAAAACATTTGACCTCTTAAAGGTTTGAGGTAACTGGAGAAATTCTACCTTATACTTTTATGTGTTAATTAGTTTATTGTTTGATAATTGAAATGTGTGAAATTAAATAAATTGCAAGTGTGGCATAAATGATGTGAAAATCCACTATGTTGATTTTTGTAAGATTTAATGATTATGTAGGAGTTCAATGATGCAATTTGATGTTAAAGTTCAATAAATTTGTGAAATGTGAGTCCAATAACTGTGTTAGAGTTTAATGATGTAATTTGATAATAAAGTTCAATGAATTTATGAAATGCGAAGCTCAATGACTATGTGTATATAGAGTTCCATGATTGTGTGTTTTGAAAGTTCAATGATGGTGTTTAATGTGTAGTCCCATGAAGATTTGTGAATATGTGAAATAGGAGTACAATGAAATGATTGAGCATATTAAGTAGTGAAAATTTGCATGCTATGAGAAAGTTGCATATTGATGCACTGCATGATCATGAGAGGCGGGAGTTCACTTAGGAAGAGGAGTAGAAATTTAAATTCATGTGGTAAGGCTCTCATCTAAGCTCGATGGTTGGCCTAAATTTATTTTGTACCTTATCCAACTTGTTCAGTGAGAGACTGTCCCACTGGCTCAATAAGGGACTCAAACCTAGCTAGCTATCCACTGGTTCAACAAGGAAGTTAGTATAGGAAGAATGACATCCTATAATGAGAGAAATGGGAAAAATCATGTTCCACACATCAGTTGGGAAAGCCTTGACCGGGTAACCCCTCACACATATTTAGGCTATGGAAGTTCATATTATAGACTATCCTAATGAGTTATAGCCCATGGTTTCATGTCAAAAGAATAAGGAGGATATAAAAGAAGGATGATCATGAATATAGTGAAAATAGGCACATGGTTGTTTATATTGTGATCTTAATGATGAAATTTGTGAGTTTAGCCTTATTTCCATGCAAAAACATATTAATAGATTATACGATTAGTTCCTTTCTTGTATAAAAGTTGTGTTACTAATCATGATCTCTTGAGCATGTGCTATTCTATTTGAAAATGTGGATTTATGCTCCTGAGTATGTTACATAATTTGAAAATTAGATTGTAACTTGCCACTTGCATTTAAATCAATTGACATGTATTAGTATGAGTTAGTTGAACCTTAATTATTGAGTAGTTGTACTCACTCTTCTATCTTTAATATTACAGGAAATAGCTCAAGAGGACAAGATAGAGGAAAACAACCAAAGGCATAGGACTGACATCCTAATAGTAGGCCTCTTTCATCTTTGAGTTTGTATGTGTATATGATGATTAATATTTTTAGCTAGGACTAATCCATTTAAAACTTACTTGCATTATGTGGTTGTGAACTCTAGAGTGTATTCTGGGTTTTAAGGTGTACCTAGGTGATATATGATATTTATGCCAAGGGCAAAATACTAATACAAGTGTTGAGTATAACATGTGATTTTTGTGGATTATTAGATGAAATGTGTGATTTGTGCTCCCCTTCTATTTTTGAGATTAAGAGATTGAGAATTAAAAATGTGAATTATTAGTATTATGAATGTGGTGGTGCGTTACATAAATCTGTTTCAGTCTATTGTATGTCTTTTAAGTGGTGTCTATTGTAATGCTTCTATTAATTAAACACATAACTAGCATAGAAATTAACCTTAAGGTAAAGATTTCATGATAATTCCAACTAATTAAATCAATAATAAAAGATATCATGGAAAAAAAATAACCTTGGCAATATAAAAACTCAAAAGGTTAAGTAAAAAATCTTATATAGATGGGTTCCATTAATTATTTAATCTCAAAGCCAAGTT